AGCGATAGGGTGTCGTGGTGCAAGCTGGAGAGTGAAATATGTGATAAAATTTACGATGAATTTAAGAAAAAGTCGCTAGGTGACAAGCTAACACAGTTTGGTGACATAATTAATCACTGTGCCCCGAGTTCAGGAGAAGACGCAACCGAGCGTCATGTAGAAAAAAAGCTGGATGCAGAGAGACATCGAGAAGTGCCGATCAGACAAGAATGCACTAAAAAAAACGGTTCAAAGCAGCTACAGGCAGCGAACGGGAGGTCTGGCTACACCTAAAGAACCGACACAGTGCCCTCTGTCGCTCCGAGCATTTATGTAAGAACGGACGGAGAGCCAAAAGGGAGCGAGAGATGCTCTTTAGGGACCTGTTTCTGTTTCAGTTTGCCCGAAGCCTGTTCGAGCAACCGGTGGTCAGTAAAGAGGAGCTGGAGTCACATCTACTGAAGATGTACTCTGAGAGTATAAGGAATTAACCTCTCGATGACAACATAGAGATCAGCAGCGAGTTAAAGCGGCCAGAGTTGCCAAAGGTACTGTTTAAAACAATGCTTTTCTCTTGGTCTGAGGTCGAAGAGGCTAGTGGCAAGTCTGCCCCAGGGCCCATCGGTGTACCGTACGTCATGTACAAAGGCTGTCCGAAAGTCCTCCGAATGCTTCACCGCTTGCTAAGATTAGCGTGGAGCTGAAAGCACATATGTAATCAGTGGCAGATAGCCAACGGGGTATACATTCCCAAGGAGCGAGACGCCTCCAAAATATCCAAATTCAGACCTATCTGGTTGTTGAACGTTGAGGGAAAGACATTTTTCTCGGTAACGGAACGCAGGTTCACACAGTATTTAATGGCGAACAAATATATCGATACGACTGTTCAGAAGGTGGAATCCTGGGCGTTCCCGGGTGCCGTGAACACGCGACCATGATCTGGGAAAATCCCTAGTGGACAACAATGTCTTATCCCTTACAAAGCCGAAGTATCCGATACATGTCTGCCGGTGTCTCTCTGCCAAATGCCAAAGTCCAACAATTGTCTGACGAACCAATCATTCGCTTGTCACTCTGGTCGTAAAGGTAATCAGCTGATCTCATTTACTACCAGCAGCGACAATATAACACCAAATCTCACAGCCCCTGTTTCTAAGTCACCAAATCTCACAGCCCCTGTTGCTAAGTCACCAAATCTCACAGCCCCTGTTGCTAAGTCACCAAATCTCACAGCCCCTGTTGCAAAGTCACTAAATCGTTCTGTCCCTGTCGAGTCCGATGAGAAGATCGGGGCCTGGCTTCATGACCCAGGTCGGCCCACATTCGACAAAGGATCTCAATTGATGACTGATGGACGCCTGCTGTGCATGCTCCACTGATGGACCCCTGCTGTGTATGCTCCACTGATGGACCCCTGCTGTACATGCTCCACTGATGGACCCCTGCTGTACATGCTCCAATGATGGACCCTGCTGTACATGCTCCACTGATAGACCCCTGCTGTACATGCTCCACTGATGGACCCCTGCTGTGCATGCTCCACTAATGGACCCCTGCTGTGCATCTTCTGTGTGGACTTCTTATTATTGACTTCTTTCGATGTTAGTGCATTCTGGACAGAATCTATCTCATCGTTTACTTGCCACTTCCGCCCCCGCGGCTGGACAGCGCTGACTATGGGATCTGCACATTCGCGCAACATTGCGAGTCTCGTAGCTTCGCCAGCTTAACGTAAAGAGTACCGTAGTTAGACAAGCGGGTCTCCATGCCATTTCCTCGTGGCAGTGTTGATTTTTCCCTATCGTCGCATTAACTGCAAAACAGTTAGAACGCTGGCTCTTAAGTGGGAGACCCGGGTTCAAATCCTCGTTAAGGCTGGGGATTTTTTTTTTCTGTCGGAGCAAGATTAATCCTCACCTGCACAGTCGTGGCAACAGCACTAGCCATGCAGCCGTAAATCCTCATGCTCAAAGACCCCCCACCCCTTTTTTTTTTCCGCCTACACCGCAAACAGGTATAATAATGAACAGTAATTTGCAGTTTTTAGCATCAACTGCGCTAGTGCTCATCTCATTCACATCAGCAGCTAGAGGCGCCTAAGAATCAACAGAAATTGGAGGCACAAGAACTTGAACTTCCCGATCAGTCTGCTCTGTTCGATAGCGAGCAGGTCTGTAGCCATGGACACATGTATTCGCCAGACTTACTTCATTTTTGATAGCTTTGAATCGTATACGCGGCTTCTCTACTGGTTCCTCGTAAACAATGGCGATCGTTTTGCTTGCACCCGTGAATCTGGCTTCTTCTTTTTCTTCTTCTCTTCCATCTTGTACATCAGCGAAGTTTCGGGGGGAAATGAATGTTCGTTGATGAGCTCTGTCAAGATCACTATTAAGACTGATGTTCACTTCTGTAAGGCTGTTCTCAATGCGATCACTCAATATTTTCCGAGGTCTTTCACTCGCTCTATACGTGTGGCAGATAGTACCAAGGCATTCTTGTTAGGTGTCCGAACCACTTCATTTGTTGTTCTTTGATGACATGTAAGACTGGCTTTATTCCTAGCATTCGTCTGATTTCGTGATTTCGTATTCTGTCTTTCCTTGAAACTCCTACAGCTCTTCTAAGGCATTTTTCATCTCTGTTGTCACAATTTTACGTTCATTGGAGGACGTAAGTGTCCACGCCTGGCATTGACAGAATAGTGTTGGCCAAAAAATAGTTCTGATAAGATTCACTTTAGTACTCCAGGATATCTGCTTGTGTGTCAACAGGGGATATAGTTGCCCTATTATTTGATTAGCTTTGGCACATCTGGAGCTAATTTCTCTGTCCAGTTTTCAGTCGGATGTGAAAATTGCTCCTAAATACTTTAATTCCCCTGTTTGTCCTAAAGTGTTGTTTTTTTTCATTTTATTTCTAAATTGTATTATGTCTTCCTATTACTATTGTCTCTGTCCTCGTAGTGTTTATAGTTGACGAATCGACAGATTTCTTGACTTCTGGCGCCTAAATTATATGTCGACCACGCAATCAAGCCTCTACAGTATAACGCAGTCTGTTAATGTCGTGTAGTCGATAAATGCTCTCTGAGGTGGTATCTCGTGATCGCCTCTTAAACGTCTTGCCTGTACCCAGCGGTGCCACCTAGCAAGACCTGCCTGGCCATGACGAACAGTACCGGAGATATCGTACTCCCCATTGTTATCGCAGCCTGGAGCTCAGTCCATCTCGTAGCGAACGTGGCGGCAGACACGCATACTGCCAGTTTAGAAAAGTACTGCTCGATCGTAGCAATGATGTCTGATGTGACGTGAAACATGCAAGGGGCCTGCAATAACAGCCTGTGGGGTACCCATAAGCGCTGGCGATGTCCAACCAAATCTCATGCAGTTCTTCCATCTCTGGGATGCACTAGAGATACGCATGCAGAAACTGGTAGCGGCACAAAGAGAGGCCATATATCTGTCTACTTCTATTGTAAAATGACACAAATTTAGTTAGATTGTCTAAATATTCGTAGTACAATTTTTATCATAATTACATTCCAAATCAAAACAAAATTTGAAACAAAACAGATTATATTTCAGTCAGATGGGTAAATAAAAGATATATAAATTTGAAATAAATATATCAGTGAACGCAATTAGCCCATTAAAAAAAAAAAAAAAATAACTACTATCACTACTGGGTACGTTGAGCACAGAGACAGTGAGAAGGTTGCTTCTTGGGAGGATGGGTTACGAGTGTGTGCGACCGATGTGCTGAGATATGGATACGGACAATAGGTAACAAGCAGGTGTCTGCCTGACAGGGCCTTCCAGTGAGCACGATCATTTAATAGCCTTTCTACAGCTGGAAGGGGCTGGTTCTAATCACAGGTACCAATAAATATGGCTCTATTATAATTGTCCCTTGTCTCGACTTTTTCCCCCGTTACTGTTAAGACACTGATCAATATCTCTGTGTTTATGGCAAATTAAATAAAACTAAATTTGACAGGGTTCGCTGTCGCCTTGACTTAGAAGCTCCACAAGAAATAGAAAAGTGACAAGGTTCGCCTGTTGCCCTGACTGAGAAGCGCCACAAGAAATAAAAAAGTGACAAGGATCGCCTGTCGCCTTGAATTGGAAGCGCCACAAGAAATAGAAAAGTGACAAGGTTCGACTGTCGCCCTGACTTAGAAGCGCCAGAAGAAATAGAAAAGTGACAAGGATCGCCTGTTGCCCTGACTTAGAAGCTCCACAAGAAATAGAAAGTGACAAGGTTCGCCTGTCGCCTTGACTTAGAAGAGCCACAAGAAATAGAAAAGTGACAAGGTTCGCCTGTTGCCCTGACTTAGAAGCGCCACAAGAAATAGAAAAGTGACAAGGTTCGACTGTCGCCTTGACTTAGAAGCTCCACAAGAAATAGAAAAGTGACAAGGGTCGCCTATCGCCCTGACTTAGAAGCGCCACAAGAAATAGAAAAAGACCGATCGTCCAGAAAACGATGTCTGACCTGACCCGACAAAGGTTAAGGTCGCGGCCATTTGTAGTCACATAATTCTCACGTGTGAGATCTGGAGAAGATTGTCGCTTGTAACTTCTCATTGACAGATATAGTACAGTAGCGATAAGTCATGAATATTTTCTTTGCCACCAGTACATTTTTATCACTGCATATTGTTTGTTGAAAGTGAAAAAGTTTTCCAAGTGCGTCGACTGGTTTCGTAATTTCGAGATAACATTTGTCCTCACACAGTTCACACACACAACAGTTGACCTAAAGTAAAGTTAAAGTGTGTGTTGGATGTCGAGTGACTTCGGTTCGGTCTTGGAGAAGCAAGTTAGTTGATGAAAATACTGTATATAAAATAAATAATAGATGTGACATATTTTGCTTGAATAATTTCATGATAATCCCGCAGATTGCCTGTTGCTAGTAAGTTTGTTTTGGAAGCGAACTTTTAAAAATAGAGTAATTGTTGACATCATGATGATGATAGTTTCCATTTGACACTTCTCCAGCACCCAGTCATGGCTTCTGTTAACAGAATGTTACTACAGAAAACATTTACCTGCAGCGTTTTAAAAACTTCTTTCATCAAAGCTTTTTTATCTCCAAAAGTGTGGTCGTTTGACACATCAAGCCTCTTGAGAAAATTGCCACATCTCAATTCCCAGATTCATTTATATTCATCGGGCCCTGAAAGTACTGCAAACATTCTTAGTCAGTCCATGTTGATTTTTCAAGATGGAGTTGATATAGAGGAACTGCCAGTTCTAGTCAAACGAGCAACTAGTGAATCGTTTCCGTTTACTTCACATTCATACACTGGTCAACAATTTCAAGAAGAAACAGAGTTTGATACAACTTTTCGACAAGATCTGTGTAACTGTTATTCTGTGAATGATGTATTCAGGTTACTTGAAGTGCCCTCTGACAAAGTTCGAGGCATATCAGCATCGCTTGCACTCCAGAAACTACATGTATTAAAATATCTCAACACAGACTGGCACCAGATCCATTCTTTTATTCGTTCAGCTGTTATGCGAGAGCTTTATGACACAGTTCAGCAAGATGTCAAGCTTTTGTCCAACAGCACTCTTATTTCACTGGTGGAGTGTTATGTTGCTACAGATGGCTTTAGTTTGATGTGTATAGATGGCATTAATTTGGAAATCCAGTCACGGTTAGGGGATGGCATACTTTCTGTAGAAGAACTGTTAAATCTTTCACAGGTACTAAGCAAACATTCAGGGATCAATCATAAACCATCTGTCAGTGGTGTCAAGATTTCACCTGTCAGCATTGTCTCAGAAAACTCATCTAGATTGTTATCAAATGATGGAGATGAACAGCAAGTTAAAGTTGACAGTTTTGACAAGTACTGCTCCAAAGCTGGTCCTCAAGTCAGGACAGAAATTCATTCAAGATGTTCTCAACTTCGTGATCATGTTTGGGTGCATTTAACCTCCAGGTATGAAGCAACCGGTTTCATGTCAGTTTTCTTTTGAATGTAAAAATTAATATTTTCAGGGAGCTGAACTTTGGAATGTGTGAGCTTATCATTTTCTAGTCTTATAGTGTGATGTCTTCTGATAACCAACTATTCAAGTGTTTGCTTACATAATAAAATACAGTTATATTAAAAAGAATATATAGAACTATCATGTCAGTACATAGCATCAAAGTGTACGTGGGTTACAACAACAGTAGCAGTCATTTATCATCATTATTCCGTAACACTACATGATGTTGGGTCACCAGTTTCTGTTGACTGATCAGCTCTCTCCACCTTTTGTTGTCAGTTGCGATGGACTTCATGTGAGGCCTGTACAGTCAGTCAGGTTCTGTAACCAGGTCTTTCTTGATCTGCCTTTTCTCCTCTTTCCCTTTACTGAGCCCTGCAGTATTGATTTTGAGAGGCCTTTAGATCTTGTTACATGTCCATACTATTGCATGTTTTGCCTTTTCACTGTAGTTAAAAGAGGTTTGTAGTTGCCAGAAAGAATCATTTATGCCTGTAAATAATGAAGTGCAAGCTGGCAACATACTGGCTGTTCTGAAATCACAGCATTCAATTAGATATCCATGTTTACATTTAAGAAAACATATGGTAAGGTAAAGTTGGTAATGTCACCTCATAAGTAAAGTAAAAGTAAAGGACCCTTTTCTTTTCCACACCTTCACTTGTATTGGGCATATAGGGCTAGACCTATATTGTATATACACCAGTCGGCACTTGTTGGGTGACATGGTCAACTTCACTTCAGCTATAGTACTATACCTGGTACTCCTTCAAGGCTAGGGCGACCTGGGAGCCGAGGTTATTTAAAAAAAAAAAAGTCTGGCTCCCTCATGACCCGGACAAACGACCTTCTCATCCATATGTGAGCGTCTACCCGCTACACCACAGAGGCTTACATGTCACCTCATGGAATTCAATAAATCTGCCACAGTGCAGACATCAATTCTTCAGCTGTATATACTGTTTCTTTTATTTGCAAATCATAATCGTACAAATTAAGTTCTTTAAATTTGCTAAATGAAAAGATCTTTACTTTTGGCCATTCTTCATAAGGTGCACAGACCTTTCTTTGATTGTAGTAGGGTGATTTTACTTAGGTTTGTGAGGGTTTGTCTAAAAGCTGAATGAATAGTACACAGATAATGTAAATACAGTCACATTTAAGAGCATCTTAACTCTGTACATTCCTGGCTGGTCCAATGTAGCTACTTTGGCTTGTGATGTTTCATGAGGGATTCCAGAACATGCAGGAGACGGTTGTGGTAGCACTTGATCTTGTGGATGCCTACAGAAGAGTAAAATATGATATTTTGATTTCTGCACTCAGGAGAAGGTTTGTGAACTAGATAGCAGCTGCCCAACATTCACATATGGTAGCCCTTCGCCTGGATACATGGACCTCAGAACCATGTAATATCACACCGTGACTACCTCAGGGTTCTGCAATTTCACCAGTGCTCTTTAATGGATATACAAGCAAGATTGCAGAACTTGAATCACCAGGTGTTTGAAGAACACTGACATTTGCAAATGATGTTCTTGCATATAAGCAGGGGAGAGGTTCTTGCATATAGGCAGGGAAGAGGTAAGCGACATATAGCTCATGAGCTACAAGCAACTGTAGACAAAGTGACTGAATTATGTGCAGATATGGGGGCTGTCATCAACTCAGAAAAGGCAACTGTTTTGTGGTGCTCAATAGAATTGTAAAAGCTAACTTTCCAAACTTAACAGTTAATAACAATAAAATCAAAAGAGAAAGCAAACTGAGGTACCTGGGTATCATTTTCAATAGAAGCCTGGCCTTCAGGGATTATGTGGATGCAGTTGCAGTGAAAATGTTCCAGCATCTGATCCTGTCGGTGATAGATTACGGACTTGGCATGCTAACTATATCAAAGAGTCAGCTGATGAAACTTGAATGCACACAGAATGAAGCCATGTGGGTAATTTTTGGATGTACAAGAGATACCCCGGTAGTATGTATGCGATATATACTTGCACTGCCTACTATTGCAGATAGGCTTGAAGTTCTGCAAGCAAAGTCATATCTCTTAGAGTAGCTGCAGACAAAAGGCACCTCCTGCATGAAGCCCTGGGTAAAGCTAAGGGTCACAGACTGAAAAGAGGAAAGTCTTGGATGGCGCTAGCTGAAGACACAATTGGACATGAATGCAGGCTTGATAAATTTAGGCGAGGAGAGGAATGGGTCAAAGTGTCCAATCAGGTTTCAAATTTGTGTAGGGTTCTAATCACTTTGGGACATGAGTGCAGGGACTGGCCAGCTGGTGCTGCAGAATCAGTTCAACAAATGATTCATGACAAATCCCACTCAGGTGATGTGATTGTATATACAGATGGCTCTGTGTTGAGGGGCAGATGAAGTCCCCAAGTGCTGTGATGTGGATTCTTAATTTAACATTCATCATTTGGCCTGTTTTGTAAGGGGAACCTAAACTGAGCAAGCTGCTTGTACTGCTGGCCACTCATAGGTGTACCTTGGACATAAGTGTGTCTGCTAGGGGTTTACTATCAGGAGCACGATAGTTGCTTCTACAACTTGCCCTGAAACATCCTTCTATTTAACTGGTCTGTCAGGGTCCTCATGCTGCTGGCAAGCTGGTGCTGTTCACATTGACCAGTTTTGTGACATTGGTACACTCATGTACAGATACTTGTTAAATGGTTATGATACACAGCTCTAACTTGGCTCTTCTAATGGTGAAGAAAAAGTAAAGGACCCTCTTCCAAGCTTTAGGCATATAGGGCTAGACCTATATTTTATAGACCACCGGCACAAGATGGGTGATATGCTCAGCATCACGCCTACCGCCTCTACTTTCCGGGACTGCACCCGGTACCCACTCAAGGCTGGGTTAACCTGGGAGTCAAGATCATTTTTTGAAAAAAAAAAAGGTCCGGCTCAACCAGGATGTGAACCCACGACCTTCCGATCTAGCTGCTCTGCCACGGCGGCTCCCTAATGGTGAAGATACATTGATTTTTATTGACTACTAATCAATCACTAGTTGAGATATGCTGATTTTTTACTGACTGTTCTAATCGTGAAGATATGTTGATTTAAATTGCATTGTTTAGTTATAATGATAATGCTGATTGACATCGACTGTTCTGATATTATTAATGCCATGTATTGTCTTTTTTTTAATGAATGGCAAGGTATCAAGATATAGATGAGAACACATTCGCCCACATACTTCAGGCACTTACATGTGACAGGAAGAACTTGGTCAGTTTGCTGGAGAAATCTTTGGCAAAGTATTGGATCTCTTTGTCTCCAGAAGATGTTAAGACAAGTTTGGATAACCTTGTTCGTTTACGAGCCAACAGCACAGTTATTATGACTTATTTTGGTAAGCGTTCAGTGTGGTAATAGATTTTGTTGTATGCTGCTTAGTTACAAAAACAGTGATTGAAGTGTCATCCCTAGGATTGACTGCATTTTTATGGAGAACTAAAACAGTTACTAATAAAATACAAACATTCATTAACTGGTGCCTGGGCAGAATTAAGGGAATTAAATGTTGGGCTTTGGGACAGAACTAAACAAGCTCCAGTGGAACAAGAAGTGAAGAAAATATGCTACAGTTGGTTAGGACACACGAGAAAACCTGTGAGAAAACCTGAGAACAAAATAACTAGAATGTCTTTGTGCTGGAACCCACAAGGGCATATAAATAAATACTGATCCAAAAATCCATGGACAAGGGAGCTAAAGAGTGAAGTTAAAAAGATGGATGGGAATGACATGGGGTAAACTGCATGGACCAGCAACGAATATAACGACTTGGATGAGTTGTTGAGGGCCTATGCTCCATTGAGGGATAAAAGGCAAAAAAAAAGAAATGCTTTATTCCTCTTTTTGTTTCCCAATCCCTAAGCAGTGGATCAGATGCCAAGCCTGTCTGAATGAGATGCCAGGCCTGTCTGAATGACTGTTGTCTAGGAATACTGCAGGAACAAAGATACAGTGGCATGAAAAAACAGTCTATTGCTGGTATTTGTCCTCAGGCCAGATCTGTTTGATGGTGTTGTAATGGGAGGGAATATAGAATAGCGATGCAGATTTCTCTTGTCTCTTTAGCTGGACAAGGTCTCAGACTTTGGATGTGCATGAAATACTGCATTCTTCTTCTTCTTCATCTGCTTCTTCTGCTGCTTCTTCTTCTTCTTCTTCTTCTTCTTCTTCTTCTTCTTCTTCTTCTTCTTCTTCTTCTTCTAGACCATGTAGAAGCTCAAGACCACAGAAAGCCAATAATAGTAACTCTGTAACTTGCCGTGCCTTTCTTCAAAAGTGACTAAGGATGTTTGGCTGCCTGTCCCATCACATACAAGACAATTGTTGCAACATTCCATTGAATCTTGAGCAAGCCTACAGAAAAAGAAACAAAAGCTGTCTCATGCACCCAAAATAAAGGAGGTTGTTCTCCTACAGGACAGCACTAATAAGCCTGGATCTCTGATTGTCTTTCACCTAAGGAGTCTCCATAACTGTCAGCTGCCATGTTAGAACTATATAAATGTTAGGGAAAACTGCAAATAATAAGGAAAATGAATTGGATCTTGCAAAAAGCCTCTAACTTCGTGTGAATGAATACTATTCTGAGGCAGTGATCTCTAGAGGCAGAGAAAGTATGAATGTGACTGCATTTAATTCTAGAATCATAACACAGTTTAGATGGTGTGCGTATGCCAGCAAACAAGGAGAAAGGGGAGGCTTTTCTCCATAGGTTAAAAGCTCAACAGATCATAATAATGTAGACATCAGGGATGCAGTTAGAAGGGAGTTAGCTGGCACCTTGAAGAATATGCATTATGAAGACTTGATACAAGTTTAAGATATCAAACAAATTTTGAAAAAAGCAAAAGACACTGCACCAGGGCCTGATAGAGTCATGTGTGGTCACATGAAGGCTTTGAGCGATGTAGACCTGGCAGAGATGGCCGACTGTTTTAACCAGAGCATTAAGACAGCATCAGTACTGCAGGACTGGGTGCACAGCTATCTAATCCCACTACCAAAACTTTTTAAAGATCATTAAAAGCTCAGTGGCTTCAGAATCATCACCTTGCAAAACACATTTGGGAAGGTCTTTGAGAAGATAGTTGCTGTAAAGCTGCAAGAATTTTTGAAAAGGAGGAAGCTTCTCCCAAGAGGTCTGGGAAGTTACAGGTCAGGAAAGGACACTTGGGCAAATGCGGCCACTTTTGCTTTTGACGTCTATGAAGGGTTCCAGAACAGACAGGAAACTAAGGCGGTAGGACTGGATCTCGAGGAGGCTTATAACTGATTGAGATACAACATCTTAATGACTACACTGGAGAAGGAGGTCAATCCATGGCTGGTGAATTGGGTTGCAGCTGTCCTGTATCCACATCGGATTGCTCTCTGACTGAGCTCATGGACCTTAGAACCATACTTTGTCCCAGGACTGCCACAGAGATCCGCCATCTGGCTTATTCTCTTTAACGTGTATACGAGCAAGATTGCAAGCCTAGAAGCACTAGGAGTTGGAAGGATACTGACTTTTGCAGATGATATTCTTGCATATAGGCAGGGGGGAGAGAGGGAACAAACAGCCAGGGAGCTACAAGCCACAGTAGACAAAGTGACTGAGTGGTGTACAGCAATGAGGGCTGTCTGTCGTCCACCCGGAAAAGCATCTGTTTTGTGGTGTTCTCTGGATAACAGAATCGTTAAAGCTAATGTCCCAAGTCTCATGATAGATGGTAAAAAAGTCAGCAGAGAGAGCAAATTGAAGGACCATATGGAGAGTGTTGTGACGAGATGCTAAAAAGGACAGTGCACTTAAGACTATGGCTGCAATTGACATAGAGCAGAGAATGCTTTTCACACTATATCAGCACCTGATCCTCTCAATGGTGGATTATGGCCTGGGAATGCTTACCGTGTCAAAGAGTCAGATGGACAAACTAGAGCGCATACAGAACGCAGCTATGCGGGTCATTCTGGGTTGCTCCAGAGACACCCCAGTGGTGTGTGTATGCGGTGCATCCTTGGTTTGCCGACTGTTGCAGGTAGGCACAAGGTGCTGCAGGCGAAGTCATATCTCAGGGTAGCTGCAGTCACAGACCACCCTTTGCATGAAGCTCTGGGTGCAGTTAAGGGTCAGTGGATGATAAAAGGGAGGTCATGGATGGCTCAGGCAGAAGAAACATTCAGACAGGTTTGCATCCTTGAGAACATTAGGCGAGGAGAGGGGTGGGTCAAAGTGCCACCTGAACAGTTAGACTTGTGTAGAGTCATAATCATGCTGATCTGGGAATGCAGAGACTTGCAGCAGATGCCACGGAGGTGGAAATTCAGCAAATTATTCAAGATAATGCTCGCTCAGAGGATTTGATCATTTACACAGACGGTTCAGTGTCTTAGCAACAGAAGTGCTTGGGGCTTCTTAGCAAAAGTTAATGGTTGGCGTTTGGTGCAGGAGGGCCTAGCAAATGATACCACAGCATCCAGCTTAAGAATGGAGGTGGAGGCGGTCACTGCAGCTTTCCGTTGGCTAGAGAACATGACACACACACTCATCATGATTGTAACTGGCTCAGAAAGATGCTGAGGAAGATCAGAACAAGTGCTTCGTGCAGAGTGGCATGCTTCGCTGTGGAGGACACTGGTGAGGAGTATTGTTTTTTTTTATTTTTTTTCACCGAGGCAAGCCGGTGTGTTGGGAAATGGACAGGCAGACAGACTGGCTGGCTCTGCACAACTTGGTGGAATACTGATACATGATAAGGCAGACGTGGTTAGTGCCTTGTGGGAGAGTGTACAGTTCAGAGGAGCAGATGGATCACCACAGTCTGGTGAAATTGATGGGGGGTGGGGGGCGGGGGGTGATGAGAGGTTCTGGCAGATGCTCGAGGCTCAGAGGAAAGGCAAGACGGATGTTTAATCAGAATGCTACTGGCACCATTAGAATCGGAACTCTTCACTGGCTGCTGAAGATGGGGACGTAGCGCTTATAGGAATGCCCAGAGTGCTGTGATGTCGGTTCTTGAATCAAATTAAATCAAACAAGTACGCGAATTCAAATATCTAGGAAGCAAATTTACGGAGTATGGCAGGTTTGAAAGGGTGATAGAAACCAGAGTACAGAAGGCAAATTCTGTCATCTACGAGTTAGCCCCACTGCTTAGACACCCAAATGTCTCCCTTCCGGTAAAACAGCAAATGATTAATATCATCTTTATACCTAATTTATGTTATCAGTACCAAACATAAACAGTGAATAGGACACTAGAACAGAAAATAACTACATGTGAAATGTGCTGTCTCCGCAAGGTCACTAACAGCACTAAACGAGACATGGTTACGTTAACCAGCATTAGAGAAACAGTTAGAAAAAGACCATGTCTGGACAAAGAATAAAATAGTTGGGCCATCTAGTGAGAATGCAGCCAGACCAGACTGCATATGGGACTTTTTATAGTAGAACATCTGGGAGGTAGGGGAGAGGAGCGAACAAACTTTTTTTTTTTCAAAGAGTCATACATTAGGCACGCAAGCCCGTCTTATATTCGGCCCTTCCAAACACCCATCTTTCACTCAGCAGTTGTATTTTATCAATAAAGCATGTTATGTTCATGTAATAATAATGAATATGAAGTCAAAAACAAAAGCATGAGTGGTAAAATGCATATGCACGCTCTTGCGCTGATACACACATAGGCACCCAGTACACACATCCACATACACACTCATCCACATACATACATACATATTTACATACATACACACACACATTCACAAAACACACGCAAACAACCCAGACACACACAACTATCAGACACACACAGACACACTCAGCCGCACAAAAAGACACCTACATACAGACGCACACAGACACACACAGGGACATACGCAACATTCACACACACACAGACAGAACAAACTTTATTTTTAGACACACATATGCACACAGACACGCACACACGGATATCAAATGGACACACTCATAGAGACACACATATACACACAGACACACACACAAACAGCCACACATACATGACACACAGAGACACACACACAGAGACACATGCACACCCAGACATTATTAAAAAGAAACACTGTGTGACACAGATACACACCAAGACAAAAACACAGGAATAGACACACACAGCCACAGACACACACAGGCATAGACACACACAGGCATAGACACACACAGCCACAGACACACACAGGCATAGACACACACAGCCACAGACACACACACAGGCATAGACACACACAGTTACAGACACACACAGGCATAGACACACACAGCCAGACACACACAGGCATAGACACACACACACACACAGGCATAGACACACACAGCCACACACACACACAGGCATAGACACACACAGTTACAGACACACACAGGCATAGACACACACAGTTACAGACACACACAGCCACACACACACACAGGCATAGACACACACAGCCACACACACACACACAGGCATAGACACACACAGTTACAGACACACACAGTTACAGACACACACAGGCATAGACACACACAGTTACAGACACACACAGGCATAGACACACACAGTTACAGACACACACAGGCATAGACACACACAGTTACAGACACACACAGGCACAGACACACACAGGCATAGACACACACAGCCACAGACACACAGTTACAGACACACACAGTTACAGACATTCACAGGCATAGACACACACAGTTAAAGACACACACAGGCATAGACACACACAGTTACAGACACACACAGGCATAGATACACACAGGCATAGACACACACAGTTACAGACACACACAGGCACAGACACACTCAGGCACAGACACACTCAGGCACAGACACACAACCTTACATACCTACAAATACATACATAGACACACAGAAACAGTCCAACACACTGAGACTGTCACGCAACTAGACACACATAGATAAACACACAGAGACACAAACACGCATACAGACACACACATATACACATAAAAACACGCATATAGACACATCAACATAGACACACACAGAGAGGCACACGGACACCTTACAGACACACAAACTCACAGATACATGCCCACACACAGACCTAAACATTCACACACACACAAAGAACACAAACTTATAAAATTACTTATACATACACTCAAACGTACACAGAATTATTCATACACATGTACACATATACGCATACATACATATCATACACACATATTTAACTATAAACTGGTAATGCAGTCTGGATTATGAACTACACTTTAGGTGGCAAATAGTCACTGGTAATCATGAAATGAAAGAGTTTGCGGTTAAATTAGTAGGGATTAATTACTCTTTGTAGTTTTTAGATCGAGTAGAAGATAGTTCCATAAATGAGCAGTAGAATATGTGAAACTTGTTTTAAATAAATAATTTCTTGGTTTAGGCAAAAGTAATAAACATAGTCGCTTGCTATTCGTAGGTTTAGATTGAATCAACCGGAAAATGTAATTTGGAGTATTTTGAGATAGGATTTTGTAATGAATTTGGCCTTGTTAAAAATTAAACGTGGACTAAATGGCAGAAGTCTTAGATGTCTGTATTTTTCTGGATGTTGTTTCTAGAACAGTATTCAATATGAGTTTGGATGTAGGCTACGTAGGAAGATGAAGAAAGATATGAATAAATGGTATAGATGAAACCTGCAAAAAGTTGAACAAATCCATCTCTCAAGCCACCCGAGAGGCGCAAGACACATAAAGAAAGCCACGACACTGGGCTACAACCTGGTAACAGTAAGACGACAAAAGAAAAAGAAGAAGAGTTTAAAAGTACAATTGATTCATGGCGTAAGACCATATTTTTTTACAAATATCCTGAGGTATAAGATAAGCAATAAAGACAGATGCATAAAGTATCAACTGTATGTTTGAAATGCTGACCATTTATGTTTCTGAAACAGGACGGTGGGCTTATGTGAACATCCATCAGATGTCATTACCACTGCTGCTGTCATTTTTGAATGCATACATTCACTTTGGCTTCCTGAATGAAAATCTTGTGAAGGTGATGGAGAGATGCCTCAGCCTGAAGGGTCAATTGGTGAGCCTGTATTTGACTTGTCTTTGAGAATGAGTGAGTTAGAATGTAAGCATAATTTGTATCTTTGACGGGTGGGAAGATGTTTTTAACCAGGAAGGTGCATCACTTTAGGAGAGCAGGTTATGAGAGTGGCATGAAATGTTCAAATATTTGTATTTCGTGTTACTTGAAATTGAATGAGTACATGTGTCCACAGTTCACAGAAAAACTTACCTCAGTCAGACTTACATTATGGCATAAGTCAAATCCATGCAGCTCTTCTTAAAGATTGCGTGTATTCAGGCAGAGGGTGCACCCAGACATTTCATCTCCTGTTTCTTCTTACAATTGATTCCAAACTGTCCACCAACCTCTGTCTTAGTCGTCTCCTGCCTTTCCTCCCCTCCAGCTTTCCCACAGTCACAACACATTCCAGTTTTCTCTATCTTATATGGCCAAAAGTGTAGATTTTGTAATGATAGAAATCCTCCTCGTGTTCATCTTATTAGCATTCACCAGCTGTACACTCCAGCAGAAAGTTCTGGTTGTTTGTCCACATCTGTTTTTGTAAGTCTTTTTCAAGAACTTAATTTTTTGCATGGACATCTGTTTTACAGATCTGACTTCTTTGTATGCAGGCTGTTGGTTCCTTACTTCTCAGACAGATGCTACCCGACTTCATAGGAAACCACAAATTAGTCAACTCTTGTGATATTGTTAGGGAGGCAGTAGGTTTTTGTCCTCCCAAATGGGACCCTAGTACACACAGACAAGTTTTGATACAATAGACGCAGTGGATTTGTGTCTTCCCGAATGGGACCCTAGTACACACAGACAGGTTTTGATACAATAGAGGCTGTGGGTTGTTGTCCTCCCAAATGGGACCCTAGTACACACAGACAGGTTTTGATACAATAGAGGCAGTGGGTTTTTGTCCTCCCAAATGGGACCCTAGTACACACAGATAGGTTTTGATACAATCGACCAATTCTTCTTGTGAGCTGACTTCATTTAAGACATCTTCATTCAATAATATATATATATACATACATACATACATACATACATACATACATACATACATACATACATACATACATACATACATACATACATACATACATACATACATACATACATACATACATACACACATGTGTATGTATGTATGTATGTATATATGTATGTATGTATGTATGTATGTATGTATGTATGTATGTATGTATGTATGTATGTATGTATGTATGTATATATATATATATATATATATATATATATATATATATATATATATATGTATGTATGTATGTATGTATATATATATATATATATATATATATATATATATATATATATATATATATATATATATATATATATATATATATATATATTTATATATATATATATATATATATATATATATATATATATATATATATATATATATATATATATATATATATATATATATATATATATATATATATATATATTCTCAATAATATTTATGTGTCCACCTCTACTCCTGGGCCTCATCAAATCTTTCCATAAGAATATAAGGAGTGTCTGTCATATATATAAAGATTGATCATTGTCACCCATTCAAATTTGTAATGGTGTAAAGCAGGGTTACATTCTAGCTCTAGCTCATACATGTTTGGCATCATCTTTACTGTGCTTTTTAGAAAGCCACTGAAGAGATCTGTCTCTGTAGGAGGTCAGATGGCAACCTTCTTCAGTTGTCCAGGCTTGGTGCAAGGACTAGGGCTCAGACAAGATGCCTCAGGGACTGTCTGTGTGGAGGCAGCAGCCATTACTGCACCTGCTGACACTCATCTGCAGATTCTCATGAAAAAATCCATGTGATTGACCAGACTGACCATCATCTCAACAGAACACAAGTGATGGGGGTGAATGTGTTCAACCAGCCAAGCATTAGCGTTTATGACCAAGAGCTTTTGGTTGTACATGAGCTGGAATGCTTAGACTCTCGAATCACAATCTTCCCCTTGATGCAGAACTAAACAGACAAACAGAAAAGGCTTCTTCAGTGCTCTCCAAGCTCATAACAAGATTTTAGTTGAGTTGATTCAAGAATCAACATCACAGCACTCTGGGCTTTCCTATAAGCGCTCCGTACCCATCTTCAGCAGCCAGTGAAGAGTTCCGATACTATATGTGCCAGTAGCATTCTGATTAAACAGCCGTCTTGCCTTTCTTCTGAGACTCGAGCATCAGCCAGAACCTCTTGTCACTCCCCGCTGGATCAATCTCACCAGACTGGTGATCTCTGTGCTCCTCCGAACTGTACACACTCTCCCACAAGGCACTAACCACGTCTGCCTTATCATGTATCAGTATTCCACCAGATTGTGCAGAGACAGTCAGTCTGTCCACCTGTTCATTTTCCAACACACCGGATGACAAGAGTATGGTTGAACAAAAAGCTTACGGGTAGGATCAAAATGAAACTTGAAGCTAATATTGCCGGTTGCAAGCTGATTACTCGTCCGCCCCTGTTTCCCCTTCAGTTTTGAATATCTTCAGAATCTCTACTCACCTCCACAGCAATGGAAGGATGGTGTAATTTTCAAACTACCTTAAAAAAAGGTGATTTGTCTGATTGTAAACCTTTGTAATAACTGGCATATCACTGTGATTGTTGTGCCAGGAAAACCTTTTTGTAGTGTGTTACTTGAGAGATTAAACAATTCTAGAGATGAAAGGCTAATGAAAGAACAAGCAGGCTTCAGACCAAAACAGTCATGTGTAGACCACATCTTCACCATAGACCACATCTTCACCATATACCACATCTTCACCATAGACCACATCTTCACCGTAGACCACATTTTCACTGTAGACCACATCTTCACCGTAGACATCTTCACCGTAGACCACATTTTCACCATAGACCACATTTTCACCGTAGACCACATTTTCACCGTAGACCACATCTTCACCGTAGACCACATTTTCACCGTAGACATTTTCACCTTAGACCACATTTTCACCGTAGACCACATTTTCACCGTAGACCACATTTTCACCATAGACCACATTTTCACCGTAGACCACATCTTCACCGTAGACCACATCTTCACTGTAGACCACATTTTCACCTTAGACATTTTCACCATAGACCACATCTTCACCGTAGACCACATCTTCACCGTAGACCAGATTTTCACCGTAGACCACATCTTCACCATAGACCACATCTTCACCATAGACCACATCTTCACCGTCAGAGTGATTGTTGGAGAATCCATAGATTTTCAGTCACATTTAATCATCAACTTCATTGGTTTTTAAAGAGCCTTCAACAGTATCCACCACCCTAGACTTTAGAAACTACTTACACTCTGGTTTCCCTACCAAATTCATCAACATCATAAATGAATTGTGGATTCAGAAAATGGCGCGATGCCTGTCGTTCAATGCTGGCGGGACCCGTATTAAAAATTGATCACGCAGACAACTGCTGATCTGTTGACGACATGTTCTGCTATCATCAATGATGAACTGCATTTCTAATGTTGGACTGTTTGTGATAGCACTTCGGATGGCTACCATATGCTTAAATGCGAGTGTATGCTAGATATGCTGAGACAGCAGTCTGTCAATCTTTCCACAAGGGAACGGACATTCTGAGTGTTTTTCGCTGGCACAGGAGCGGAGCAAAGATGGGGCGACCCGTTTGCTATGAAGCTGAAACTAAGACTACCAGACCAGACCAGATCAACATCATAAAATCCTTCTACAAGGAAACATGTTGCAGTGTAAGGACAGAATGTGTCAACTCTGACTGGTTCCCAATGGAAACAGGAGTGAAACAAGGCTGTGTCCTGTCACCGATTCTCTTTCGGAATAGCACTCAATTGAGTCATGTGCAAATGCACAAACAACATGAATATAGGTATCAAATGGGTTGACACAATCCTAGAAGACCTTGACTCTGTTGACACATAGTGCTGTTGAGTTGAGTGCATCCAGAGAAAACAGACCATCTCCAAAATGTTTCCGCAGAAATTGCTCTCCAAACAAAAATAAGACTGCCTGCTGATACCATCAGCTGCAGACCATTGACTCCATTCTCTAAAACTAGCTCTTCCACATGATACTTCAAAGAATCTTTTCGAAACTAGCTCTTCCACATGATACTTCAAAGACTGGTCGAAACTAGCTCTTCCACATGATACTTCAAAGACTTGTCAAAAATAGCTCTTCCACATGATACTTCAAAGAATCTTTTCGAAACTAGCTCTTCCACATGATACTTCAAAGACTCTGGTCAAAATTAGCTCTTCCACATGATACTTCAAAGACTCTGGTCAAAACTAGCTCTTCCACATGATACTTCAAAGACTCTGGTCAAAATTAGCTCTTCCACATGATACTTCAAAGACTCTGGTCAAAACTAGCTCTTCCACATGATACTTCAAAGACTCTGGTCAAAACTAGCTCTTCCACATGATACTTCAAAGACTCTGGTCAAAACTAGCTCTTCCACATGATACTTCAAAGACTCTTGTCAAAACTAGCTCTTCCACATGATACTTCAAAGACTCTTATTAAAAGTAATTCCTGGATATTTTAGTGTATTATCTCTCTTTATACTACAATTGTTTTTTGTGATGTCCTGCAACACATCTTTAAGAGTTTTATTATTTAAATAACACCACAAAACCTCCACATACTCAGAAGAGCAAGAATGCCAACAGTGTACTTTTTTGTGTGAAGCAAAAACACCTGTGCTGGTTGGGACATGTCTCTCGCATGGAAGACGGTTGTATTCCAAAGTATTTCCTGTATGGTGAAATGGTAACAACGGGGATAAGACCTGCGGGAAGGCCAAAGCTACGCTGTAAGGACATTTGCTGCAAACATGACCTGAAAGATATCATCATTGGCACAGGCACTTGGAAGAGATCAGCTGCAGACCAACTCTTGTGGAGGTAGACACTGACAGACAGGCTGTTGCAGTTTGAAAGAGCCCAAATGCGACAAGCTGTAGAGAGACATCTGGCCTGTGTTACCCTAAACAGAGGATCTCTGAGCTGGTGAGCCCCAGATAACCTCTGGCCCACCTCCAATGAATGGGTGATAAAAAATCTATAGAAAAGTCATTGTACACTGGTCTAGGTTTGTGACCCCAGCCTCCTGCTAAATAACATAGGATCAGATATCTTTCAATTGTGTTCTACTAAATGGCAACAAAGTTTCAGATTTGCTAAAGTCCTCATAGAGATAGGATTGATGTTTCCTTTCTAGTTGGAGTGCATTTGCCTTATGGTAAGGAGTCAGCCGACTGCACAGATCTATCAGATGGATGCACAGGCAAAACTCGCATCCTGAAACAGAGTCAAATTTCAGAAAAAGTCGATCAACCAGAACATTCTGCCAGAGTTTACAGCCAGTGAACACTAACAAACAGTGATGTTGTACAGCCAGTGAACACTAACAGTGATGTTGTGCAGCAAGTTAACACTAACAAACAGTGATGTTGTACAGCCAGTTAACACTAACAAACAGTGATGTTGTACAGCCAGTTAACACTAACAAACAGTGATGTTGTACAGCCAGTTAACACTAACAAACAGTGATGTTGTACAGCCAGTTAACACTAACAGTGATGGTGTACAGCAAGTTAACACTAACAAACAGTGACGTTGTGCAGCCAGTTAACACTAACAGTGATGTTGTACAGCAAGTTAACACTAACAAACAGTGATGTTGTACAGCAAGTTAACACTAACAAACAGTGATGTTGTACAGCAAGTTAACACTAACAAACAGTGATGTTGTACAGCAAGTTAACACTAACAAACAGTGATGTTGTACAGCAAGTTAACACTAACAAACAGTGATGTTGTACAGCAAGTTAACACTAACAAACAGTGATGTTGTACAGCCAGTTAACACTAACAAACAGTGATGTTGTACAGCAAGTTAACACTAACAAACAGTGATGTTGTACAGCAAGTTAACACTAACAAACAGTGATGTTGTACAGCAAGTTAACACTAACAAACAGTGATGTTGTACAGCAAGTTAACACTAACAAACAGTGATGTTGTACAGCAAGTTAACACTAACAAACAGTGATGTTGTACAGCCAGTTAACACTAACAAACAGTGATGTTGTGCAGCAAGTTAACACTAACAAACAGTGATGTTGTACAGCAAGTTAACACTAACAAACAGTGATGTTGTGCAGCAAGTTAACACTAACAAACAGTGATGTTGTACAGCAAGTTAACACTAACAAACAGTGATGTTGTACAGCCAGTTAACACTAACAAACAGTGATGTTTTACAGCCAGTTAGCACTAACAAACAGTGATGTTGTACACCCAGTGAACACTAACAAACAGTGATGTTTTACAGCCAGTTAACACTAACATACAGTGATGTTTTACAGCCAGTTAACACTAACAAACAGTGATGTTGTGCAGCAAGTTAACACTAACAAACAGTGATGTTGTACAGCAAGTTAACACTAACAAACAGTGATGTTGTACAGCCAGTTAACACTAACAAACAGTGATGTTTTACAGCCAGTTAACACTAACAAACAGTGATGTTGTACAGCCAGTGAACACTAACAAACAGTGATGTTTTACAGCCAGTTAACACTAACAAACAGTGATGTTGTACAGCCAGTTAACACTAACAAACAGTGATGTTGAGCTGCTTGGAATGCAGATTAAGAAAATTAAAGACATTTGTAGTCATTCTTTCTATGCACTTCTAATCAGTGCTTTGTCCTGGTCGTTCAAACTGTATGCACTGTGGTTGCTTGTTTATGACAAGCCTGGCTAAAAGATTTGATTTCATTAATTCCTGTGCACAGTTTAACAGGTCTGCTAATGATTACATTAATTCCTGTGCACATTTAACAGGTCTGCTAATGATTACATTACTTAACAATAGCATTTCGAAGGGTTTTTTGTGTGGAAACAAAATAAGCTTTATCTTCTTTATCTGTATGGTTTCTGTTTTGTTTTTTTTCTCGTCCATAAATTGATATTTTGCGATTTAGCTTGTAGCATGTATAAAATTTGTGTTTATAGAATATTTTTTAGGAAAACCCGAAGTTTGGGGGTTATGGGATCTTGGCAGTGTTTTTTCTAGGTCACCTGGGTGAAAGTGTTGATGGAAAAAGAGTTATACGATTGTGATGGCCATTACTGATTTTCTTATTTTCGTTTGCTATGACAAATCCCTCAGATACACACTGATGTGCTTGCCTTATGCGTGGAGTACTGCAGGTCATGTCAGTACCTGTCTCCTTTGGTGATGGATGCAGCTGCCAGCCACTTTACCCAGTATGCATACTCATATGAGCCTCTACAGCTGTTCGTGGTGTTGAGGGCATTTGGGCAACTCAATTATTTACCAGCACAGACATCTGCTTTCCTGAAAAAGGTTCGTTTATATAGGAAATGTTTGCAGTTTATATCAAAGCTATTCAATATCTGAATGATAGTTGAGTGTTAGATGCTTGGTATATACTAAGCAAATGGAGAAGACTTAGTGCGACAAAACCTGGCACAGCCTACAGCATCATCTTGTATGAGAATGGAGGTGGAGGCAGTCATTGCTGGCTTGAGAACCAGCTGACTCACACAACATGTTGAGAAAGGTGTGGACAGGTGTGCTCTGTACAACGTAGCAAGCATTGCTTCAGAGATCCCAGGTAGTTAGTTTATGTTGGGTCTTTTCTCCAGGTCATCCTGGCTTATTGATAACCCGAATTTGTAGATAGAATGTCTGGTTTTGCACCATTAGGTAGTAATTGTTTTGTGGCAAGCTAGATATTTTATGGGTCTTTGGGAGTGAGTTAACAGTGAAGAGACACAAATAGGTCGTAATGGTCTGAAGAGAACGCTGCAGCGAGGAGTGACCTAGGATATCTAGCCAGCCAACAACTCTCAGAAAAGGGGTGAGATGGACATACAATCAGATTGTTACTGGTACACTTGGATTTGGAAATCTTTGCTTGCTGCTGAGGATGGGGATAGATCGCTTCTGGAAATGTCCAGAGTGCTATGATGTTTGTTCTCAACTCATGGCCTTATATGGCTATCCTCACAAGATCCGTGCTACCACTGTTCCAACACAATCGCTAAGACCCGCCTGGAGGTTATCAGGTGACAAGTGTGCCATGCTGACTGTCACTCGGGCGTTATGCCTCTCATGGGGAGATGGCCCCTGAAACTGCGCACTGGCAACATTCTACACCTATGCAATATATCAGATAAATATTTTAGCAGTGCCACAGACTATCAAGCTGTATGTATCACAAATATAATTATGCACTAGTTCCTAACACGTGATTATACTAATATAATTAAATGCTAGTCACTATCACTAAGAATACTGCGAGGAACAACTAATGTTTTTACAGTAACACATTATAACTGTCACACAAAACATCTGCTGCTGTAAACGTCCAAAATCTCGTCTCTCCTGTCACGTGTAAGTCCAGTCTCCTTATCCCAAGGTCCTGCTCACTAGACTTCCTCAAAATACTGGATTCAAGTCTAGTTCTGTTGAAACGCCAAGTGTTGTTAACTTGTTTGATGCACTGTTTCTGTCCAGTGTGTATTTTATCACTTTTGTCCAGTCTTTTCTAGGGCTACACTCATGACCTTTTCTTGTCTCTCCATTGATAATACAAACACATGAGCTGTCGGCCCCTGACATCATTGATGTCATGGGAGCTGAGTCAGGATTGTTGCGGTGCCATAGTAGACATTCTTTGATTCCTTTACCTCCAGAGCAGTGACTAGTTTTTTTGGCATAAATATTTGCAGGGAAATCCTACTTTCTCTGACAATTCAGCTTTGGTTGGGAATTATTGTGAATGTATTCTTGGAATCTACTAAGAACTATCTCAATGTATCCACAAATATTTCTGTTGTGTGTGCTGTGGGATCAGAATGAGAATCCTCAGCTAGATTTTAAGGATGAGATATTGCTGAACAGATTCCTAATGTCTGATCAGTGCAATAAGGGATGAGATATTGCTGCACAGATTCCTAATGTCTGATCAGTGCAATCAGGGATGAGATATTGCTGAACATATTGATGATGTCTGATCAGTGCTATAAGGGATGCTGAGGCTGTCTCTTCAGCTTTTGTGCTGCACAAGGGTTATCTGCTATGGACAGGTTTCTGCTTTATCTGCTATTGACAGGTTTCTGCTTTATTTGCTATTGACAGGTTTCTGGGTTATCTGCTATTGATAGGTTTCCGGGTTATCTGCTATTGACATGTTTCTGGTCTATCTGCTATTGACAGGTTTCTGGTCTATCTGCTATTGATAGGTTTCCGGGTTATCTGCTATTGATAGGTTTCTGGGTTATCTGCTATTGATAGGTTTCTGGGTTATCTGCTATTGATAGGTTTCCGGGTTATCTGCTATTGATAGGTTTCCGGGTTATCTGCTATTGACATGTTTCTGGTCTATCTGCTATTGACAGGTTTCTGGTCTATCTGCTATTGACAGGTTTCTGGGTTATCTGCTATTGATAGGTTTCCGGGTTATCTGCTATTGACATGTTTCTGGTCTATCTGCTATTGACAGGTTTCTGGTCTATCTGCTATTGACAGGTTTTTGGTTTATATACTATTGACAGGTTTCTGCTTTATCTGCTATTGACAGGTTTCTGGTCTATCTGTTATCGACAGGTTTCTGCTTTATCTGCTATTGACAGGTTTCTGGGTTATTTGCTGTTGACAGGTTTCTGGTCAGGTTGCAGTGTTTTGAGGCGCACTTTGCTTTATCAGAAAACAGACACACTCAAAAATCTCATATTAAGAAGTACATTACAGGTTGCGTGACACACATGCCTTTAAGCATTGCACACACAATTTTAAATTGCTCAGTCCTCTTTCTTGTTCCTAGACTGTCATTTTTTTGGGCTGTGTGTCAAGAACAAAAAACACTGTCCAGTCAGTATTTGGTAACTCTCTTTCTCTCTCTCTCGCTCTCTCTCTCTCTCTCTCTCTCTCTCTCTCTCTCTCTCTCTCTCTCTCTCTCTCTCTCTCTCTCTCTCTCTCTCTCTCTCTCTCTCTCTCTCTCTCTCTCTCTCTCTCTCTCTCTCTCTCTCTCTCTCTCTCTCTCACTGAGAGATTTGACATCATAAATTTACCACTTGCTGGTCATAATACCAGAGTTCTTCACTTGAAGAGATGGCAGATTATTGGTAGAGAAATGGGCTTTAATTCATGTTACTCTGATCATGTGCCTTGTTTTTGTTGTTCTTCCCAGGTGGAATCTTGTTTGTGGGATCGTTTTGATCAAATGCAGGAGACACAACTGCTAGAAATTTTGGGCTCCTTCACATTTTTAGACATACTTCCCAAAAATTTTCACATGCGAGTGTCTGATCATGTCTTTCTAGACAGAATCAGAAGTAAGTATTTCTAGCAGTCAAACTGTACACTTTTCTTTATCTATATGTTAAAAAAAAAAAAAAAAGATCTGTAGTAGTATAGTGTCTATGGACTGGTTTTGCATTAAGAGAGAATCTGTTACCTTTGAAAATAAAGTTTTACGTTTGTTCGGTCTTTCATGTCATGCCCTTTGCCGTTTTTGCCATGGATTTTTGTTCTTCAGCATAAGTTGCATGTTTGCAGTTCAGTAAGGAGAATAGTATTTTATTAGTGAGGGTTTTGAATATCACAGTGCTGAAACATATACCTATATAAATGTTCTTTTAACAGAAGGTAAAGAGGTAAAGTTAGGAGTGAGTTCATAAGACAAAAAGGACAGTTCATAAGAGAAAAAGGACAGTTCATAAGAGAAAAAGGACAGTTCATAAGAGAAAAAGGACAGTTCATAAGAGAAAAAGGACAGTTTATAATAGAAAGAAGTCAGTTCCTGAGAGACAAAAGCCACTTCCTAAGAGAAAAAAAAGGTCATGTTCTATCACCAGGATAGATCAGTACTATACTGCATACAAAGACAGCCAGAAATGGTTTGCTTATTTTAAAAATAATGCCTTGTGATGCCATACCATACATGGCATATACCAGCCCAAAAAAAACAGAGAGAGAGAGAGTCATGAATTCTGAGGTAGATCAAGGACAAGTGGAAAGATAACATCAAAACAACATTTGGCCAGAAGAGCAAGAACCAGAACCTTCTATCTCCATAGACATCGAAGTGGTCACAGAGAAGGAGTTGACATCACAACACTCTGGGCATTCCCATGTGCGCTTAATCCTCATCTTCAGCAGCCAGCGCAGAGCTCCAATACTTTTGTTATGTTTGTAATCTGGTTATGTGTCTGTCTTGCCTTTCCTCTGAGTGTAGTGAGCCGGCCAGACCCTCTAGTGACACCAAGGTGCCTCATTCTCTCCAGGTCATAATAATCTTGTTTCTCTACTGATTCCATTGCTTGTGAGTGATCCCAGTCCATAATCAATCACTGAGATGACTGATTGCTGGTAAAGTGTGAACTGCATTCTCTGCTCCATATCCATTGTTGCCATAATCTTGAGTGCATTAAGACCTTTTTGAGCCTTTGTTACAAGTCCCTTTATGTGATCACTGAAAGACAAACTTCTGTCAAAGGTGATTCCCAGGTACCACAGTCTGCTGTCTCTTCTGTTGATCCTGCCAATTATTTTGAGGCTTGGAACATCAGCTCTAACAATCCTATTGTCCAAAAAATACCACAGGATCATTGTCTCTTTTTTTTTGGTTCGATTACAGCATTCATATCTAAGAAATAATACAGAAAAAGATTCATATTTTTTTTGGGGTCGATTACAGCATTCATATCTGAGAAATAATAAGAGAAAGAATCATATTTTTTAAAAGTGTTTATTCAGCTGTTCGATTTGGATTTCTCATATCTTGCTAATGAGCAAGTCGCATCAGCTGTTCGATTTGAATTTCTCATATCTTGCTAATGAGCAAGTCGCATCAGCTGTTCGATTTGGATTTCTCATATCTTGCTAATGAGCAAGTGGCAGCAGCTGTTCGATTTGGATTTCTTATATCTTGCTAATGAGCAAGTGGCAGCAGCTGTTCGATTTGGATTTCTTATATCTTGCTAATGAGCAAGTGGCAGCAGCTGTTCGATTTGGATTTCTCATATCTTGCTAATGAGCAAGTTGCAGCAGCACAGTTTTAATTCTAGTTGTCAGCAAATTTTAATTACACTTGTTAGGTTTCTGTAATGTGTCTGCTCCGCACTGAATCTCTCTTGTGCAGATTCAACACTGGTTCTGTTGTCTAGGTGTTATGTCACAGTTAATTCCAGCCAAACTTCTCAACTGTCGCACCTCTTTAAATGACAGTCGACGACAGTTGACAGCACTTCACAGGTTTATTGTCAATACAACACAAGCGACAAGAATCAACAGTAGAACTAATCCCTTACGCTATTCAGGCAATCTTGCCTTGCTCACGGTCTAAGTCTCCAGCCGTGCTTCAGACGATGCTGGCCAAAACAGTAATTCAACACAGCTCCGCTCCTTTTTCGTTCAGGACTAAATTCACTTGATTCTTATCCAGATTCACACTCTGGATTCAGTTTAACTTCCTTTCAATCTGGGGTTCAGTCACTGAATGACCACCTCATTCTAAATCCCCCAGATTCACACGCGACTTGCTTAGTTCTGTCTTTTCACCATCTCCCCGTGAAACCCATGCTATCAGGGACTTCCCCAATTATGTCCATCATACCCTGACGTTATCCCGATTTATAGCATCATTACAGTTTCATTTATTATTGTAGATGTTGCTGTTTTTCAAATGAATAGTTACTACCTTATATTCACATTATTTTTTTTGTGTTTTATTGTTCAAGTTGTTTTTTAATTTTCACCTTTGTGTTTCACTAATCAAGGGCTAAACAACGCCAACAAGTCAGCAGCTTTTATGTGGCTGGGTATCCTGAAAAATGCATTTGCTCTCAACACAAGCCAGGATTTAGAGAAAAATCACAAATGGTTGTTGGCCAGGAATGTTAAATACTCTCCTTTATATCATGGTAATGGTCAACTCTTGTCTTGTGTTTTTTGGATGTTTGCTGTCAACTTCATATTGTCTTGTGTTTTATGGTTGTTTGCTGTCAACTCCATATTGTCTTGTGTTTTATGGTTGTTTGCTGTCAACTCCATATTGTCTTGTGTTTTATGGTTGTTTGCTGTCAACTCCATATTGCCTTGTGTGTTTTATGGTTTGCTGTCAACTCCATATTGTTTTGTGTTTTATGGTTTGCTGTCAACTCCATATTGTCTTGTGTGTTTTATGGTTTGCTGTCAACTCCATATTGTCTTGTGTTTTATGGTTGTCTGCTGTCAACTCCATATTGTCTTGTGTGTTTTATGGTTTGCTGTCAACTCCATATTGTCTTGTGTTTTATGGTTGTCTGCTGTCATTTTTATTTGCCTCTTCAATTTTTTAAAAATAGGAAGATGCTGTGAAAAATGGGACACAGAAAATAAGTTATGCAGGTTGAGGCAAACTGTTTGAAACTAATAAACTAAAGTCTTCAACTGGAACACATTCACAGTGCAGTCCCTATAACTGGAATCAGCTTACACACAGTACTTTTAGACTAGGTGAATACAAACACTAGTACCCTAGCTGGAATCAGCTTACAAACAGTACTTTTAAAATAGGTGAATACTTACGCTAGTACCCTAACTGGAATCAGCTTACACACAGTACTTTTAAACTAGGTGAATACATACACTAGTAACTTAACTGGAATCAGCTTACACACAGTACTTTTAAACTAGGTGAATATATACACTAGTACCCTAACTGGAATCAGCTTACACACAGTACTTTTAGACTACGTGAATACATACACTAGTACCCTAGCTGGAATCAGCTTACACACAGTACTTTTATACTAGGTGAATACATACACTAGTACCCTAATTGGAATCAGCTTACACACAGTACTTTTAAACTAGGTGAATACATACACTAGTACCCTAATTGGAATCAGCTTACACACAGTACTTTTAGACTAGGTAAACACATACACTAGTACTCTAACTGGAATCAGCTTACACACAGTACTTTTAGACTAGGTAAACACACACATACACTAGTGCCCTAGCTGGAATCAGCTTACACACAGTACTTTTAGACTGAGTAAACACATACACTAGAGCCCTAGCTGGAATCAGCTTACACACAGTACTTTCAGACTAGGTAAACACACACACTAGTACCCTAACTGGAATCAGCTTACACACAGTACTTTTAGACTGAGTAAACACATACACTAGTACCCTAACTGGAATCAGCTTACACAGAGTACTTCTAGACCATGCACAGTACATACTTTCATGCTGACTAAATACACATACACCTTTCCTGTAACTGGAATCTGTTCACACGCAGTGTTTTCAGACTGACAGTGTTTTCAGACTTGCAGTGTTTTCAGACTGGCAGTGTTTTCAGACTTGCAGTGTTTTCAGACTGACAGTGTTTTCAGACTGACGGTGTTTTCAGACTTGCAGTTTTTTCAGACTGGCAGTTTTTTCAGACTGGCAGTGTTTTCAGACTGGTAGTGTTTTCAGACTTGCAGTGTTTTCAGACTGACAGTGTTTTCAGACTTGCAGTGTTTTCAGGCTGACAGTGTTTTCAAACTGACATATTTCTGTCCTCTAAAAGAACATTGTCAGAAAAAACTGATGAGTAGAGATTACGGCTTAAGTCTGACAGTACCACTGGAGAAAGTTCTGCCATGACAACTCAAAAAGGAGTGAATAAAATGAGAACTGACATCCCTGCACTTGGGAAATTCCTACTTGTGCTTTGTCTCCTTCAATAGCCAGCGAAAAGTCCATGTGGTAATAGTACCTGCTGCAACCTGATTCAAAGTCCACCTCTGTTTTCCCCACAGTGTTGAATAGTCTGGAGACGCCATGCTCAGCCCTCGCTGAATTAGTCTGTCAGTGTATTGTGTGTATATATATATATATCTTTCTTGTAGAATGGTTTGATTGGAATGAGAGACAAGCACTTGTTTATGGATATGCTGCAGAATAGTTCTAAAAAGGAAAATGAGATACTTGCTAAACCTGATCATCTGTAGTCACATCAGAACTGCTAGTCTCTTGCATGCAGCCTGGTATCCTTAATCTGGTCCAGACATACTTATATGGAACCTGTAATTTCAAGACATGCTGGTGTCTTTTAATGCTTTTCATGCAACATAAATATGTATCTTTCTTGTAGAATTATTCTATGTCACAAATGACATTCTAGATAGCTGTTGAATGCATTCATTGTTATCTGCTTTCCAATTTCTCTCTTATTGTATTCTAGCTCCTTCCGATCTTTATTCACAACCATGTTTTCTATTGGCTTCTGCTGAAAGTATCTTCTGCCAAACACAATCTTGATTGCACCGCTAGTAATCTTAAAAACATTTTATGTGATGCCTTTGATTAATGTTAGCATTTATCAGCTTTTACATGGCAAACCATACCATATAAGACACAATTCATGTCCCTTTTTTGAGTCGTTATATCTCTTCACCTGACTCACCCAGCAGCCTGTCATCAAAATGACTTGGAGTCACTGACTTACCAATGGCTGGCAGGAGGTTGATGGGTACCAAAGAGTATACCGTTCTGGTCATGAGTTTTGTATACTGCATCTTTAGGCTCAACTAGCTCACAGATCATAGCTGTTCCAAGTTTACTCAGGGGCTAACATTTTCTAGATGGAGATGGTGATGGGTCAGAGGCCTGAGCCCATACGTAGAAAGATCATTAATACAACTGGCAGTAATCTGCAGGCCACTAGCTAGGGCTCCATCGGACTACCAGTTGAATAGCCGTCAAATTCCAGCTCTGTGGGGATCACCATGGGAGGTCACATTCAGACTGCATTATGGGGAGATTTGCAAGGGCAAATAGAGCAGCAGAGCACATCCCAGTTAGAAAAGACCTGCAAATATATGCTGGAAAACTGAGGAAACTGACATGAGAAAAGACCTGCAAATATACGCTGAAAAACTGATAAACTGATATGAGAAAAGACCTGCAAATATACGCTGGAAAACTGAGGAAACTGATATGAGAAAAGACCTGCAAATATACGCTGGAAAACTGAGGAAACTGACATGGGAAAAGAGCTAGCATCTTTTTACAGCATGCCTATGCTGTACTGCACATAACATCAGCACATTCTGCCTTTTGACTAAGTTACTATACACATACATAGCACACACTGGAGAACTAATAACAGATGCTGGCTGCAGTTACAGCTTGTATGTTAACTGCCCCATTCCTGTGTCAGCAAATATCATAGTGTTTATCATTGTCTCCTGACAACAGTGAAGCAGGCAGTAGTCCTGACAACAGTGAAGCAGGCAGTAGTCCTGACAACAGTGAAGCAGGCAGTAGTCCTGACAACAGTGAAGCAGGCAGTAGTCCTGACAACAGTGAAGCAGGCAGTAGTCCTGTCAACAGTGAAGCAGGCAGTAGTCCTGTCAACAGTGAAGCAGGCAGTAGTCCTGTCATCAGTGAAGCAGGCAGTAGTCCTGACAACAGTGAAGCAGGCAGTAGTCCTGTCAACAGTGAAGCAGGCAGTAGTCCTGACAACAGTGAAGCAGGCAGTAGTCCTGACAACAGTGAAGCAGGCAGTAGTCCTGTCAACAGTGAAGCAGGCAGTAGTCCTGTCAACAGTGAAGCAGGCAGTAGTCCTGTCATCAGTGAAGCAGGCAGTAGTCCTGACAACAGTGAAGCAGGCAGTAGTCCTGTCAACAGTGAAGCAGGCAGTAGTCCTGACAACAGTGAAGCAGGCAGTAGTCCTGACAACAGTGAAGCAGGCAGTAGTCCTGACAACAGTGAAGCAGGCAGTAGTCCTGACAACAGTGAAGCAGGCAGTAGTCCTGTCAACAGTGAAGCAGGCAGTAGTCCTGTCAACAGTGAAGCAGGCAGTAGTCCTGTCAACAGTGAAGCAGGCAGTAGTCCTGACAACAGTGAAGCAGGCAGTAGTCCTGACAACACCAATAATGAGAACACACACATATTTAATTTAAGGCAGCCATGCCACCACAGTGTCAACACATGCACAAAATGTTAGTGTAATGCTAATATTGTAACATGTAGGTTTGTTCAAAGTGCTATGTTTGCTGTGTTTTTCAGCTATTGTTTTGTCTGTTCAATGTTGTTTTTTCAGGTTATTTTGATTTATTTCTGTTAAATGCACCTTCTAAGATACAGTGAAGTGTACCAGGTAATAACTCTCTTGCGTTAATTTTTGTTTTGTTTATAACAGATGATCAAAAGACTTCACTATTGGCTGTCAGGTTTACCATCAGTCAACTTTTGGGCCATCATCACCATCATGTGCTCCCAGTTTATGGATGTAAGTAAAGCTGCTAGCAGGTTTCACAGACTTTTGTAAAAAAAAAAAAAAAAAAACACTGTTTCCTTAGTCAGGGACTTGTGGGCAGGAAATTAACATGAAAAAATCTGTCTCTTTGAAGACGTAAGATTAGTGTGTGTACATTTATTGATTCTAACAAAAACCTCTGTATTTACAAATAGTTTATAGCTCTAGTTTTCTGGTGCTCAGGAAGTTTGTTTATTTGCAGATTTGGTTTCTGTTTCTTGTTCACATTCTGCAGCTGTAAACACTGGCTGAACATTCTGGTTATTTGTCTACCTGTGGATCTATTGGCAAGATTGGGGACAAGAGAGCAAGAGCAGGGCAAGGAGATAAATGTCATGATGGCCTGGTCAGATGGATGGGGTGGAGACAAACAAATTGAACTGATCCGCGGTTCTCATGATTGTGTGAGGTGGCGGAACATGACAGCCTATGCTTACCAGCACAGCACATGATGGTGATGATAAGAAGGGGATACTTTTGTCTTTTTATAATTGTCTTCTATTTCTTCATTTCCTTGTTACTGGTTTGTGTGTTGATTGAGCTACAGGGCTCTGTTTCTTCATTTCCTTGTTACTGGTTTGTGTGTTGATTGAGCTACAGGGTTCTGTTTCTTCATTTCCTTGTTACTGGTTTGTGTGTTGATTGAGCTACAGGGTTCTGTTTCTTCATTTCCTTGTTACTGGTTTGTGTGTTGATTGAGCTACAGGGTTCTGTTTCTTCATTTCCTTGTTACTGGTTTGTGTGTTGATTGAGCTACAGGGTTCTGTTTCTTCATTTCCTTGTTACTGGTTTGTGTGTTGATTGAGCTACAGAGTTCTGTTTTTGGCTCTTCTGGCTGTCTCAGCCATAGACACATGGTGCTGTTGTTGAGTTTCTCTGATGTTATCTTTCCTTCTTGTTCTTGCTCTACCTTGTGCTCTACGTCCTGCTCCTCTTGTGTTGTATGCCTTGTATGGTATGGCATCACAAAGGCATTCTCTCTGAGTTGGCAAACCACTTGATCTGATGCCTTTGTAGGTCATTTACAACTGGTTCTGTTCTGTTTTGGGGGGAGAGCTGGCGAGGGACAGTTACAACTGGTTCTGTTCTGTTTTGGGAGGAGAGCTGGCGAGGGACATTTACAACTGGTTCTGTTCTGTTTTGGGGGGAGAGCTGGCGAGGGACAGTTACAACTGGTTCTGTTCTGTTTTGGGGGGAGAGCTGGCGAGGGACAGTTACAACTGGTTCTGTTCTGTTTTGGGGGGAGAGCTGGCGAGGGACAGTTACAACTGGTTCTGTTCTGTTTTGGGGGGAGAGCTGGCGAGGGACAGTTACTTTCAGGCAGGCAAGGATGAGAACCACATTCTGCAAAGACCTGCCAGAGGATCATCATCATCATCATCTCGAAGGTCCTTTTCAGAATGTGGTTTCCATCATCACCTGTCTGAGAGAAATTTGTCTTCTTTCGAATTTCTTTGTTGAGTACACTTTTCTGCCCACCGTGTCCCCTGCTGCTTGACCTCTGCCTCTCTTCCCTCTGTCTCTTTCTCTCTTTCTTTTCCATTGATCATTCCGGTGTTACATTATGATCAAGTCTTCCCATAATGTGACTAAATACCCCTTGCTTTTGATGTTTGAATCAACTATAGTGTGTCTTGTACACGTTGGCAGATTAACCATTACTTTTTGTTTTCAGTTAATAATATAATATTTATAATAACTGTAGATATATCTGTGCAAGTCTCGTTGTCAGTAGATGTTGAAAAATAACATGTTTCCCATGCTGTAGCAAAATTGTATTCTTCAAAACCAGTTCTTTCCTGTCGGGCGGATACAGAATAATTTTCATAATTGTAAAGACAGTTTGTCACCCAGACAGTTTGTCACCCAGACAGTTTGTCACCCAGACAGTTTGTCACCCAGACAGTTTGTCACCCAGACAGTTTGTCACTCAGACAGTTTGTCACCCAGACAGTTTGTCACCCATGTAAATAAAGAGTTTGAATGGGGAGATTATTAATGACAAGAAGAGGCATCTAGATAGAGGGGTGGGGCATTATCTGGAGCTTTACTTAGTTAATACTAAACTAGCTGATGGTGTCCTTAATGCCATGGAGGTGCTACCAACTCTTGACTATCTGGACACATTTCCAACAGTTGCAGATGTTAGCAATGCTTTTGATGAATTGGCTTCAGGGAAAGCCCCAGGCAGAGATGGAATTCCTATTGAGATCGTCAGTTGTGGTAAAGACATTCTAACCCCACACATTCATCAGCTAATAACACTCTGCTGGCAAGAGGGACAGGTTCCGCAAGACTTCAAAGACGCAAGCACCATAACTATGTACAAGAACAAGGGTGATCGGAGTGACTGCAATAACTACAGGGGAATATCACTGCTGTGTACTGTTGGAAAAGTGCTTGCGAGAATGGTTCTGCGAAGACTCCAGATCATAGGGGACCGCATTTACCCAGAGTCCCAGGGTGGCTTTCGTGGGAACCGATCTGCCACTGATATGATATTTTCATTAGGTCAGTTGCAGGAAAAATGCTGCGAACAAAATCAACCACTGTATGTTGCTTTTATTGATTTTACCAAGGCATTTGATTTGGTTAGTGGAAAAGGTCTGTTCAACGCACTGAAGAAGATTGGGTGTCCATCTTCTCTACTGAGCAATATTGAGTTGTTCCCCACAGGTATGAAAGGTACAATCAACTTTGATGGTGCAACATCGGAGGAGTATGTAATTAAAAATGGAGTGAAGCAGGGGTGTGTACTTGCTCCTACCCTCTTTGGAATATACTTTTCACTTCTTTTGACACATGCCTTTGGAGATCAGGAGGGTGGTATATTCATTCATTCTCGATCTGACGGCAGCCTTTACAATGCTTGCAAGCTGAAGGCAAAAACCAGGATAAGAAAGGTACTTATCAGAGAGCTGCTGTTTGCAGATGATGTAGCAGTAACCACCCACTCAGAGGAGGAGCTGCAAAGTTTACTATCTGCCTTTGCTGATGCGTGCTGTGAATTTGGACTAACAGCAAAAAGAAGACCAAGGTTATGGTGCAAGGTGTCAATCACAGACCTACAGTCTACATTGACGGTGAAGAGCTTGAGATAGTAGACCATTTTCCCTATCTGGGTTCCACAGTGAATAGCAAGCTATCGCTAGACCAAGAAATCAACACCAGGATAGGTAAGGCAGCAACAACAATGAGCAGATTGACAAAGAGAGTTTGGGAGGACAGAAAGCTCACAATTAAAACAAAAACTCTTGTCTATCAGGCTTGGGTTCTCAGCACTTTGCTTTATGGCAGCGAAACTTGGTCAACCTATTTGCACCAGGAGAGACGGCTTAATACTTTCACATGCGATGCCTAAGAAGAATACTTGGCATTAAGTGGCAGGACAAAATCACAAACACTGAGGTACTGGAAAGAGCAGGTACTACAACAGTCTTTTCCATGCTCAGTCTACGAAGGCTCAGGTGGCTGGGTCACACCTGGAGAATGGAGGATGGCAGAATCCCTAAAGACATCCTTTATGGTGAAGATGTCGAGGCTGACCTCTACTATGGTTTAAAGATGCGTGCAAGTGAGACATGAATGATTCAGATATTGAGGTAGACTCATGTGAACAAAATGCCATGGACCGTGTTGTGCGGAAAGGGCATATCAGGAAGGGAATGAGAGTGAAGGAAGAAAAGATTGCAGAAAGGATGAGAGCTGAAAAGAAACAGATTAAACACAAATGTTGTTAACAATGGTCCTGAAATCCCATTCTATCAATGTGGAAGACTTTTCTTGACACGGGCGGGTCTTGCTAGTCATACTCGCCATCGCCATGGGCTGTGAGTCTCATGCCTCCTCATAGCGCATTATAACACTGTCGTCTGGAAAGATGGAAAGGTGCCAATGAATCGGGTCACCCACCTATCATATCCTGATTGAGTATATATAATGTTGCAACACTTTGCCTGTCTGCAGTATCCTAGGTCAGTTAATTACCTTTAATGTCACTGAACCTTTGAGAGGGCTTTAAATGAAAACCCTAAAAGAATGATAGAAATTGCAATAATCATGACAGTGTTTTGTAACCCGTCAGTATTCATTCAAGATTAATGCATGAATTTAAAACAAAAATGCAATGGGATGGTTATCTGAATGTCTGTGACACTTGAAAGGTTTTTATCTGAAGCCTGATGTTGATTGATGTGGCATTGACCATCTTGCATGTCCAGGTTGTGCTGTCTACCTCAGTAGTGATGGTTTGCCTCTGAAGATTACAAGTGTTGACAACAGTTGTGTGATTGAAGGTCAAGTAGCTAAAAAGTGAGTCATTTTAGTTCTGTCACTTTTGCCATGTATACAGCTTTGACACTGGTTGATTTGCTTATCCCCTCTTTATTACTATTCCTGCTGTTCCTGCTGTTGCTTATACAGATACCTTCTATATCTATATCCTTTTCATGTCACTGTTGACACATAAGGCATTCAAGATTGATCTCCATTGCTGCCGGTCTGCTGCTTTTCTGCTCATGGTATCCCATGTCAGTTTACATTCCTTCATTTCCCGTTCTGTTGCCCTTCTCCAGGTTTCCTTACGTCGTCCACGTCTCCTTTTCCCATCTGCTTCGACCAGAGAGCTGTTTTTGCGAGAGTGTCACAAGGCATTCTGTAAACATGTCCAAGCCATTTCCATTGTCTTACTTTGATAACATTTGCCGGTGATGCACATTCTGTTTTCCTCCTCAGTTCTTCATTTGTGATTTTGTTTGACCAAAATATTCGTAGAATTCGCAGTTGTATAATAATATTCCTTAAATGTTGCGCTTGTATATTCTGAGTTTTGTCTTTAACTAAATCCCTTTGACTTCCATATATTGTTAAGCATGGCAAATGCTTGATTTGATTTGTTTATTCTTGATGTTACATCCTTTTTAGAATCTCCATCTGGAGTAACTTTACTTTCGAGGTAAATACATTCTTCAACTTCCTCTGTTGCTTCATCATTTAAGATAATTAGATTTTCTGTTTTGAGATTATTTCTCATTACTTCAGTTTTACTGGTGTTTATTTGGAGTACTTTCTTACGGGCTGTTGCTGAAAGTCTTTTTATCTTTTCCTAAGCGTCCACATGAGGGCTTGATGTAAGGCTGATGTCATCTGCGTAGTCCAAATCCTCTAAAACAGAGATGAGTGACCACCTGATGCCTCTGTTTCTATCTCGTGTATCTGTTTTTATCAGCCAGAACAAAAAAGGGGATAGTATGCATCCCTGTTTGACTCCTGTGTTGACAAAGAAACTTTATGTTGTATAATTATCACAAACTACCTTGCACTGAAACTCTAAGTAAATGGCTTTGATCAAATGTACTATGCTCTGTGGTACATCATAGTGACACAAAATCTTCCATAGCGATTCCCTATGCAGGCTATCAAAGGCTTTTTCAAAATCTACAAAGGTCATATAAACTGCACTATTCCATTCGTTACTTTTGTTCAGTTATTTAGGGCAGCGTGAAGATGTGATCAATACATGATTTCCCCTTTCTGAATTCTGCTTGCCATATTATACTATTCTGCTTGCCTTATAATACTATACAGTGCTTGAGTCATTCTTGTGTGCCTTTTCTACATCATATAGCTGCGGTTTTGGTTTTCCTATTTTAGCTTTAGTTTTAACCTGATTTTCCCTATAAGAAAACTATGGTCGCTACCTATATCCGCTGATCTACGTACTCTGACGTCTTGCAGGGAATGCCTCCATTTTCCATTTATTAGAATATGGTCAATTATAAGAATATGGTCAATTTGGTTTTTGGTGTGTCCATCTGGAGATCTCCATGTGACCTTATGAATTGTCTTGTGAGGGAAGAGTGTTCCTCCAATTATTAGATCATTAGATTGGCTGAACTCGCATAATCTCTCTCCGTTGTTGGTCATTTTCCCTGTTCCATGTTTTCCCATTGTTCTCTTCCTCCCTGCCTTGTCCTTTCCTACCTGAGCATTCAAGTCTCCCAGGATAAACAATACATCATGCTTTGGGATGTCTTCTACTACTGCTTGCAGACTGTTGTAAAAGCTGTCTTTTGTCTCCTCTTCTGCATCCTCTGTTGGTGCGTAACAGACCAAGACAGATAATTTTGCACTTGTTCCACTTTTCCAGTTTGATACAATATTTTCACATTCCAACTTCCAACACTTAGAGTGTTTTTGGGAGAATGAAGATTCACTGTCGGGCTGTTGACTTCATTTTGGCTTTGATCCCCAGCCCTTATTTCACCAAATATCTGGCAGGCTTCACTTCTTTCCACCGGTTCAATAGTTTCACTTGTTCTTGTTTCTGTAACAAAGTATTTTTTAATGGTAATGGGTTGTCAGCCCTTTGCCCAACCCCCAGCCTGGAGGACCAGGCTGCTAGTTTGGTCTGACTCTTCTCAAGATCTGTTGGGCATGGTTAAACCTGCCAGGGGAACAAGTCCCCTGCCGGCCTGGTTAAACCTGCCAGGGGAGCAAGTCCCTTGCCGGCCTGGTTAAACCTGCCAGGGGTACAAGTCCCCTGCCGGTATAGCTCTGGGAGTCATTAGGGTACTCAAACCTCCCGCTATGCCAAGGCACCAGCACCATGGGATGGACAGAGACCTTGGTTTGATTAGTTTGTAATCTTTTGAACATGAATGCCCTTAGGACTTTATCAGAAGTTTCCTAGACAGCCTGAATTTCACATAACACTCCAGTGTATTATTCCAGAGTTACATTACTTTTTGTGCATGCCAGGTTTTCTCATTTTAAAATCTAGCCTAGACTGTGTCCTATTTGGCTGACTGGGAAGTTGATCATATTGTATATTAAAATTATATTGTTCCTTCCAAGAGACACTTAACATGTGCTTGCTTTTCTCTCTGCTGTCGTCCATTGTTTTGCCACCATTATTTCGACAGCCATTACAAGAATTCTTTGTTTCTTGTTGTCGCTGCCAAAAAAGAATAGCCAATTTCTTTCAGATATCTCTCATGGATGTTTTTAAAAATAATAATTTTTAAAAAAAAGCTTTTAATTTTCTCTTGAGAACATTTGGTTGCATCTTGTCTTGTCCAGCTATGTTTCTGATTCACGGCCCTCTCTTGTGAGTGAGTAGGGTATATTTGATATTGGCCTTGATTCAGTGCTGGACTCATTTAGAGATCAGTTGGTTTCAGTACAGCTTCAGGTTTTGTTTCATGAATGGATCACTTCATTAAAAATGGACTACATCCAAACTCTCCGCACTCCTCTAACCCCCCCCCCCCCCCCCCCAACAAAACATTGTCAAAATGTATGCAAGCTGTAAGCTGTTTGTGCATATTGATGATGATGATGATGTAGCAGTATGTGTACTATTACTGTTGATTGCAACGTTGTCTACAGTCAAACAGGTTGAGCTCCACTACTAAATATAGGTCATTCCTGCAAATAAGACATATGAGTTTGAGCACACAAATAAGACACATGAGTTTGAGCACACAAATAAGACACATGAGTTTGAGCACACAAATAAGACACATGAGTTTGAGCACACAAATAAGACACATGAGTTTGAGCACACAAATAAGACACATGAGTTTGAGCACACAAATAAGACACATGAGTTTGAGCACACAAATAAGACACATGAGTTTGAGCACACAAATAAGACACATGAGTTGGAGCACACAAATAAGACACATGAGTTTGAGCACACAAATAAGACACATGAGTTTGAGCACACAAATAAGACACTTGAGTTTGAGCACACAAATAAGACACATGAGTTGGAGCACACAAATAAGACATATGAGTTTGAGCACACAAATAAGACATATGAGTTTGAGCACACAAATAAGACATATGAGTTTGAGCACACAAATAAGACATATGAGTTTGAGCACACAAATAAGACATATGAGTTTGAGCACACAAATAAGACATATGAGTTTGAGCACACAAATAAGACATATGAGTTTGAGCACACAAATAAGACATATGAGTTTGAGCACACAAATAAGACACATGAGTTTGAGCACACAAATAAGACATATGAGTTTGAGCACACAAATAAGACACATGAGTTTGAGCACACAAATAAGACATATTAGTTTGAGCACACAAATAAGACACATGAGTTTGAGCACACAAATAAGACACATGAGTTGGAGCACACAAATAAGACATATGAGTTTGAGCACACAAATAAGACACATGAGTTTGAGCACACAAATAAGACACATGAGTTTGAGCACACAAATAAGACACTTGAGTTTGAGCACACAAATAAGACACTTGAGTTTGAGCACACAAATAAGACACATGAGTTTGAGCACACAAATAAGACACATGAGTTTGAGCACACAAATAAGACACATGAGTTTGAGCACACAAATAAGACACATGAGTTTGAGCACACAAATAAGACACATGAGTTTGAGCACACAAATAAGACACATGAGTTTGAGCACACAAATAAGACACATGAGTTTGAGCACACAAATAAGACACATGAGTTTGAGCACACAAATAAGACACATGAGTTTGAGCACACAAATAAGACACATGAGTTTGAGCACAGAAATAAGACATTTGAGTTTGAGCACACAAATAAGACATTTGAGTTTTGAGCACACAAATAAGACATTTCAGTTTGAGCACACAAATAAGACACATGAGTTTGAGCACACAAATAAGACATATGAGTTTGAGCACACAAATAAGACAAATATGAGTTTGAGCACACAAATAAGACATTTGAGTGTGAGCACACAAATAAGACATTTGAGTTTGAGCACACAAATAAGACGCATGAGTTTGAGCACACAGTTCAGACATATGAGTTTGAGCACACAAATAAGACACACGAGTTTGAGCACACAAATAAGACATATGAGTTTGAGCACAGTCTGAAATAAAATGGGTACAGAATGATACAACAAGCACTCAAACTGGAACCAAGCGGTCTGAGTACAAGAGGGTGTCCAGTGGAAACATTATTACAGGAAGCTAAAAATGCTGGGCTGAACTGCATGTCAGAAACAGAGAGTT